AACTTCACAAGCCTATTGTGCTACCTTGATGATCTGATGGTATTTGCACCTACAGAGGAAACCGCACTCCATCGCCTACAAATGGTTTTCTCCCGTCTCAAAGAACACAATCTTAAACTCGCACCCAAGAAGTGCTTCTTCCTAAGGCGGACTGTGAAGTTTCTTGGACATGTCATCAATGACCATGGTGTCCGAACAGATCCTGAGAAAGTGAAGGCCATAAATGAAGTCCAAGTCACTGACCTAATGGAGTCTGATGGAAAAACACCTTGCCCTAGCAAAATCAGGACTTATCTAGGCATGGTGATGTACTATCAAAGCTTCATTGAGGCATGTTCTGCAAAGGCAAAACCACTATTTAAGCTCACAGCTGGACTGGATGCTCAAAACAAGCACAAACAAGGTCGCAAACTTGTCAAAAAGAGAGGTCATGTGAAACTGACACCTGCTGATTGGACAGATGCATGCCAGATTGCTTTTGAGACACTGAAACATGACCTCATGACAAGTGTTACTCTAGCCCATCCAGATTTCAAGGCACCATTTATTCTAGCTGTCGACGCATCCTTTGATGGGATTGGCGCTGTCCTGTCACAACTGCCACCTGGTGGAAAAGTGGCCAGACCAGTCGCCTTTGCAAGTAGAACTCTTTCACGTTCCCAACTGAACTACCCTGCACACCGGCTTGAATTTCTTGCCTTGAAATGGGCAGTATGTGACAAATTCAGCCATTGGTTGAAGGGCAGACACTTCACCATATGGACTGACAATAATCCATTGACCTATATCCTGACCAAACCCAGACTTGATGCGTGTGAACAGCGGTGGGTGGCAAAGCTTGCTGCATATGACTTTGACCTGAAATACATCCCTGGCCCAAAGAACATTGTTGCAGATGCCTTGAGCCGTGAGCCATTTGTCCAGTCATGTGTGGGTCATCGCCTCGTAAATGAGCCATATACCTTGCTGTTGGACCAGGTCAACAGTGTGAATGACAAACTCGTGCAGGATGTTCAGAGTGTCCAACAACTGTCAAGCTATTGTAGATGATGGTGGTGAGATACCAAATGATCCAATTCAAGATACAGTTCCACTAAACACAAAAGGCTCAGTCTCAGCAGAGGAGGTTGCTGCCATCTTCAATGTTCAGTCCAGCGGAGGTGTGAGCCAAATGATGGGAACTAGTATTGACCCCAATTTTCTTCTGGATGAAAACCAGTCATCTGCATTCCCACAGAGCCAGCTTGTCAATTGGCAGGAAGCTGACGACACAATCAACAGAGCCATGTACTTTGTACGGAGACATAGAAGACCTACCAAACGTGAAAGGACTAATGAATCACAGAGCGTGATTAAGCTGCTGAAACACTGGACCAGACTCACCATACAGAATGGCATGCTGTACAAGGCAAGGAGAGATCCTCACATGAACAAGAAAATCCTCCAGTTCATAGTACCTGACTCAATGAAGCAAAAAGTTCTCCATGGTCTCCATGATGCAGCAGGTCACCAAGGCCAGCACCGTACCTTGTCTCTGGTGAGACAAAGATTTTTCTGGAGTGGCATGGGCCGTGATGTAATGAACTATGTTCGGTGCTGTCAGCGCTGCATTGTAGGAAAGACAGCGGAACCGCACAGCCGTGCACCACTCCAAAACATAGTCACTAGCCTATGGAATTAGTCTGCATAGACTTTGGACTGCTGAGCAAGGGAACAAGTCTGTGGATGTTCTAGTTGTGACTGATCATTTTTCCAAGATGGCACATGCCTTCCCCTGTAAGAATCAGACTGCCAAGGAAGTTGCTCGTCGTCTCTGGAACAACTTCTTTCTCATTTATGGGTTTCCTTGTCGTATACATTCTGACCAAGGGGCCAACTTTGAGAGCAAACTAATCAAAGAGCTTCTAGAAATGGCTGGAATACAGAAATCCCATACAACTCCCTATCACCCCATGGGGAATGGTGTTGCAGAGAGATTCAACAGGACTCTGGGAGACATGATCAGATCCCTTCCTCCTCAGCCAAAAGCAAAGTGGCCACAAATGCTGCAACTACTAACCTTCTGCTATAACTGCACAGAGCATGAGACAACAGGGTTCGCACCATTCTACCTGCTATTTGGAAGGATCCCTCGTCTACCTGTTGACGTGATGTTTCAACATACCCTTACCGACAACACTGTTGTCAACCACTCAGACTTTGTTTCCCACCTAAAAAAAGATCTACACAAGGCTGCTCAAATTGTGCAGAAAAACAGTCTCAAGGAACAGACTCGCCATGCCAACCTGTACAACCGTAAGATCAAAGGCTCACCTCTAGTCATTGGAGACAGAGTCCTGATTGCCAACAGAGGAGTGCAAGGAAAACGCAAGATTGCAGACAAGTGGGAATCTACCCCTTATGAGGTCATATCAGTCAGGCCTGATATCAATGTCTACAGAGTTAAAGATGTCCTAACGGGCAGAGAGAGAGTTGTCCACAGAAACCTGCTACTCTCTGTTAGCTTCTTGCCATGTGAGAATGCTGAGGACCACGAATCTGACAGTACTACTGCTGTGCATGGAAGTGGTCTATGTCCAGACACACCTGATGAGCCGGAGAACAGTGACAGTGACAGTGACATTCTACCCTCAGACATGATGACAGCCCCTTCCACAGACATGTTTGCTCCTGACAAATACCTCACAGACGTTGACGCTCCTGTGACGGCTGCTCCAAACGATGACTGTTCAGACATTCCAGGCTCCTCACCTCAAATTGTTTCTACAAAGCTTGACCGTCGTATTCTTAGGGACCGTAGTTCCATCAGGCCTCCCAGACGTCTTATTTGTGAGATGAATAATCAAGAAGTAGATGAAACTTCTTTATCTGCAGTGTCTGTTAGTTCCCTAATTTCGTTTTTTTCAAATGCATTTTCAGTTTAAGTAGCAGAGTTAAACCGTGTTAACCATAGAGGTGCTTGAGTAGTGCTTTTAGGGTCATAGGAACAGTGTTACATTTCAAAGGTGTAATGGGCACTTTTGAGTCTGTGTTTAGTTAGGAATTTGATCAACTCCTTTCTTTACATACTCCCTTTTGGCAGAGTTTTTGCACTGACAAGTATACCCACTTTCGTTCCTAGTGTTGCACTTTTTTTTCTTTTTTTGCTTTTCCCTTAGTACACCCACTTTATTTGATTGTTTTGTTTTGTTTGATCATATTTTTCATATTTAGCAGAATTTCAGGGGGGTGTATGTAACGGGTATTAAGATGAAATTCTTGCTAAAATATGTTTTTGTAATTACCATGTGATGAATGGTTTTTGGCGCCCCCTACTGGTTGCCTATAAATACAAAGCTAAACCGTAAATTCCACGCAGTCTGTTGAGCGCTCTACTGTGGTAAGTCACCAAATCCAGTTCTTTTCTGAATAGTATAGTAGGTGTGCTCAAAGACTGACGTGGAGTTTTATTGCAGTATGCGGAGAGCTGATGGACCAGTAGTGGAGCTCACTGTACTAATTTGTGTTGACCATTTATTACAGGTAATTATATTATATTATTTATTAGTAAATTATTTTGTCAGTTATGTTTGTCAGTTTTTCTTCAGTTGAGTTGTCGGTTTGTCTGTTGTATTGTCGGTTTGCTGTATTTACCAGCTTGTCAGTTTGTTTGTTCCCTGTTTCAGTTAGAAGTTACTGTTAATTAGTTTATTAGTTAAATTTGATTGTTGTCTGTCTATTTTTTTATTTATTTATAGGAAATAGACCAGATTGTGTTAAATTAATTTTAAAGAAGTATTAATAATCAAATATCACTATACGATCATTTGTTAGAAAAATATGTTGTTAAGCCAGATTGTAATGATTGTTTGTGACGCAGTCTGTTGAGCGCTCTACTGTGTATGCGGAGAGCTGATGGACCAGTATTGGAGCTCACTGTACTAATTTGTGTTGACCATTTATTACAGTTATTACAGAAAATTCAACCAACTGGCCTCCTCTGTGTGTATGACGGGACGGGCATACTCCTATATATATAATATATATATATACAATATATTATATATATATATATATATAAAAATGATGATTACAGCCGACGTTCATAATGAAAGTCCAATGGCCTTAAACATGAAGTTTGTTTGATTCATAAAGTTCTCCAACAAGCGTTCTGGGATAGATGCCCAACCAAGCGCCTGCCTGGGACGAGGCGAGAGCTTGAACGGTTGGAGGTGAAAGTGTGAATCCCTGTGTTGTTTCAGAACTATGAAGTTGTCACACTATACAAACTTAGTAGCTTTCTCATTCTGATGGTGTAGACTAAAATCTGGATCACTTGTACAACTAAAAACACATTTTGATGTGTACGGTAGAAAATAAATGTTATTTAACGGGTATTCTCCTTCGTAACCATTAATAGAAAGACTTGTGTTTCTATGGAGGCCAAAGGTTAAAGAAATGCTTGTATTTGAATAAAAACAATAAAAAAAAAACTCAAGAAAGACAATCTATGGGATGTAGATTCAAAGAAACGACTTTCAAAAGCATAACTCTGGAACTCGTCTGAAAGAAATGAAAATGATGACTTAATTATGACTTTGCACCTCATAGGTTTTTGTGTTAGATTGCTGACTTTATTCGTCATGTTTAAAAAAATTTAAAAGACATAATTGCCACTTTAAAAGCCAAAGGTCATAAAGATAACTTTGCACTTTATAATTTCAGTTTTGAAACTTGCTATTTTGACTTTGTGTCTCATGACTAGGAGTCTGAATGCGACAATTACGACTCATGTATTCCTGACGTGCTTCTATTATTTTTTGCTTCCAAGCTGATAATTACCATATTGAAACTGGTAGTTTTGACTGAAAATGTAAATTATGATTCAAGACTCGGAAATTCAGACTTATTTTTAACTTAAATAAATGAAAGTGTTAAGAACTTTTTGTGTTTCTTCTTTCACATCGAATACATTCGGCTTTCACGGTCAAACCTGCTGAAATCAAACGTAAAGAAACGATTCAGAAACAACCGCTGTGACGTCATACTTTCCGACTCTTTCGCTGTTGCTGTGGAAACGCCATAGCAACGGCCATAGCGTTTCCATAGCAAGTTCTTGAGCGGAGTTCTGGATTTGCGGGCTTTTAAAACTCAGAGCAGGTGAAACTTGGCTGTTTTTGTTCGTCCTGTTTTTAGAATGTTTTTCCCTTTGTTGTCTGGAAACCAGTCAGTTTATTATGATTTCTGTTCGGTTGCCTTGTTAAAACAAGCTAGTTATTTTAAAAAAAGTAAATTGTTTAAATGTCTTTACCATATATATATATATATATATATATATATATATATATATATATATATATAATTCTTGTGTGTGTGTGTGCGTGCGCGCGCGCGTGTGGCGTGCGTTTGTTTCTAATACCTTGTGGGGACCATTTTCCTGACACATGCTATGTTGTGGGGACCTACTGCTCCTTGTGGGGACTGCAGCCTTTTTGGGTCAGAGGTCAAATTTAGGACTAAGGTGTGAATTGAGTTTTGGTTAGGGTTACGGTTAGACATGCAGCGGTTAGGGTTAGGGTAAGGTTTATGCTGTAGAAACGAATGGAAGTCAATGGAAAGTCCACGCAAAGATAGTTTGCCTGGCGAGCTCGTCGCCAGCACCATGTTCTCCATCTGTTTGCAGATGGAGAACATCTTCAGAGGTGCAGGAGGAGGAGGACTGTGGAATAATCCCAGACACCCACGGTACAACAAGGAGACCGAGGAATTAAGGCATTGTGAGTGGATGCATTTTTATTATTATTTTACTGTTTCCACTCATGAAATTAACTATATTAATACACTATAGTTTTAAATCTAATTTTTGATATCAGCTGCATAGCTAAGGATAGATGAAAACATAGCTATAGCTATCAAAGCCTTTGACAGTACATTAAAAACACCCATCATTTGGCTTTATATAGGCGCCCTCAGAGGATGAGATAGTGTTATTGTGCAGCGAGGTCAGTGGTTCAGCACTCCTAGTCTCACTTGTGCTTTTTCTTCCATGATGTTCTTCTGATTTGTTCAGTGAGGAAAGAAGAGGCGGACCTTATATGCGTCAAGAGAAAAGAGAGCATCAGGCCAGACAAGCGTAAGTCTGTTCATATCAGAAGCAGTAATGTTTTACCACAGAAAATTATTTTTCATATTTTGTTAGTTACAAACCACAACAACAACAAAACAAGCTTGTAATGCAATTGTTTTTGTGACAAGTTGTGCATAGTTGTGAAGCTGAGCAGGAAATTGGGAATACTTTGGCTTCACAAAGTTATCTAAAGTATGGCATGTATTATGTCACTTTTAAAATAAGATCATCGTGCATCTAGTGACCTTCAGAAAATCATCCATGTAAATGAAAACCCTTTTTAAAAAAAAAATTTGCAAATCTATATATCTACAAATGCACAACATCAAAACAGCTAACAATTCTGCAGTTTTCATTTCAACTCTTAATTATAATCTCTTTTGTGGTGGAAATTATGCAACTTTAACATGGCAAAATGTGAAAAGCTCATATGGTACAGAAAGATTCTTTAGCAAGGTATAACGAGTTTATAAATGATCATTTTTATATACAGTGACGGTAGTTATTGCATTGATGTTAAATGGTTAGACGTTTTAGTTCTAGGCCAAATATGGCTGAGTATACACTGTTCATGTTCAGTCAGCAGTTTTAAAAATACGTAAATAAAAAGCTTTCCTCCTGCGTTGGTGCAGCTTTGTCGACTTCTGCTTCAGAAAAAGCTACTGCAAGTAAACCTGCCTATCAATCCAAGCCGAGAAGGAATGTGAAACGCAATGCTGAAGCTTGTCGAGCTGGGAAGAGCTACGAGAGGGAAATGTTTCACCCTGGCCCCTATCGTATGTACCCGAAATCATATTTGACTGAACTTCGGTCGTTATGAAACTCCTGCAAAAGCAGGAGAATGTTCAGAACTTTCAGACCCGAGACCGGTTCACACTGATCCCTTCTCTGATTGCACTCTCAGGAGATATGGAGGATGAGAAGAGGAGGCTTCAGAATTTCATGGCAACAGGAAGATATGAAGACGCCGGGATGATTTTAAAAAAAGCCGCTCGCAAACCGGAGGAACCGCAGAAGCCCGACGCCTATGAGGAAGGTAATGCTGGGAACAGTCATCCAGATGGAGGAGCAACGTCACAAAATCAACCCATCAAGGATGAGTCTTGATTGTGAATTAGTCTTCATAATTCTCTGAATCTCTCTAGCTTTTTTTTTTTTTTTTTTTTTCTGTGTTCCTCACATGAAGCGTTTTTCTGTTCTGTAGTGTTAAATGAAATAGAAGAAAGGAAACAGTTTCTGGATGACATGGCAGCTCTGGGACAGAACGAGCACACCTTCGTCGTCAACTCTCAGATATCAGAGGTGAGCAAGCGGTTCATGTTGTCAAAAATGCATTTTTACACCCATGCTGGCTACCACATTGTCTAAAAATTTATGCATATGTATTTAAGTGTTTATTGTTGTTAATTTGAATGATCATGTCTGATAAGAAAAAAAAAATTCTAACTAAATTCGGGGCATCAGGAAATTTGAATAAAGCATAAGATCAGTACAGAAGGAATATTTTGACCAACATACTCATGGTGGAGACTGCTAATTTCACTGTTTGACAAGGAGACAAGCATCAATAACCCTTGCATTGTAATAATCAAAGATTATCACTGACTACAAGTGGAAGAATAAAATGTGGTAAAGCAAAGTGCAGTCAAGAGATTGGGGGAAATCCATGAGGTGGAGATTGCTTCAAGAGCCTCCGTTCACAGGTGTATTCAAGGAATGGGCTACTACTGGGGCATTCTGCGTGTGAAGCTAGTATGGGAACAGAGGTCAGACATGTCTTACCCAGGTAAAGGAGAAAAAGGGCTGGACTGTTCCTCGGTCTTCTTTACAGATAGGAGTCCATTTTGCATTTCATTTCCACAAAATTCAGGTTCTTGAGTTGCTGCTAGAAATATTTCCATCATAAGAGGAAGGCTCGTCTCCCTCTGACCCTTCACAAATAAACAGATATTCTACACAGCGGAGGGCTTTCAAAAATGCAAGTGCAGAAAGACAAGTGTCATGTGGCTCTGACGCCAACTGGACACGCAAAATTTGCTTCGTAAGTTTCCCCGGACCTTCGATCTCAAATCACTGACAAATGCGCTCAGTTGAACAATCCTGTTGTTGGGACAGCAAACATTTAATATTTTAATGTTATACCTCCTCAACTGGCAAAAGAACTGCTTGCCCAGCAGGCTCCATGTGGTTTTTGCAGGTCTCACCAACTCAAATTTAAAACTTAAGACCATTAGGAATGGAAGTTAAGATCTCCGTCATGACAGAAATATGCAGAAGAAAATGGCAAATACATAAATTGTATGGGTCAAGCCAGCTGGAGATGAATTTGCACTCACCCAGGATGTTAAATTAACAACACATTTTTCCTGTCCCTTTTACCAACAGAAGCTTCATGAGCTGCAGGCCTTGGAAAAGGAACGCAGTTCCAAGCAGAACACAGACAAGTGAACGTCAATTCAAGGAATAACAAGCGTTGACGAGACAGGTCTGCAAAGAACGTTTCAAACTACTGCCCGGCTCATGTTTCAAGTTTATGCATCAGTGGAAAACAACAAACTGGATAAATAAATTTGGTTTATTCTTCACCCTACATCTGTCAGTATGTTATTTAATCCGGCAGCTGTTGCAGAATACAGTAGAGACGAGAAAGATGCGCGGCAGAAGCCCTTGGTTCACGCTGGACAAAAAACAAGCACAGAGCGGAGGCAGAGCGACGACAGAGGAGTGAAACTAAATGACAAAAACATGAGCAGAGCAAAAACACACACATTTACATGAACTCTGCAGACCTTCATCCACATGCGCAGTTAAATAAATGGCACTCAAACAGCAAGATCATAAATACGATTTCCTATGAACCTTAAGGCAATATACAAACAGCAAGGCTTTGTAATGTGAGTTATTGGATGCATAAAGAAGCCTACGTAAACCTGATAGTTAAAGCTCCTATAAAATGGTATTTTGCTTATTCTAATTATTGCATGTGTGACGGATAAGCCGATAATAACTATAACAGAACAAGTTATTTAAAAAAAACAACAAAAAAAAAACATTTTCTCCCTTTCACTTTTTTTCCCCAAACACACACTTCACATAAATACTGTAAGTTTCCAGCACAGGCACAAACAAACGGCAAGTATTTCAGAGACACTATGGCAGCTGGATTTCTTCAGCTATACTTTGCTGGTTGAGCTTTTTGTTGGAAAATGCTGCAGTTTAAAGCAAAAACACAATCATCCTAAAAAAAAACCATAGTACCACCAGTTCAAACCAAACGGGTTGAAACAAATAAAAGATCCATCTTCTCTCCTAAGGAGTAAAGGGGATATTAAGGAGTAGGATCACCTTTACCCTAAGGTAATAACCCTCATAACTTCCCCCATTGCTTATTTTGTGAGTGTGTGTGAGCTAGCGGAAAGTGTGTGTTGTCGTACAAGAGGCTGGGATGTTACAATGATTTTATTCTGACCCTTTACCCTAAGGTAAATCTGTGTAGTCTGCAACAACCTTAAAAGACTTTGACGTGTGAGTAGCCAAACTGAAATTCAAAAATGTTTTTTTTACTGATCATTGAACGCACCGTACAGGTCACAGTAACAAAAATCTGAGCTGTGGACGCTGTTACAGTATAGAGAATATTTTCTGTAGCTGTGGGGTGTTTAAAATGTAGTTAGGAGAAGCGCCACTGCTGTAAGAACTTTGTTGAAAACAAAAAATGCTTTTGCAAATAAGGCTGCAGAAGAACGAGAGAGAGTGACACTTTCAGTAGGTCACACTAGGGCTGAATGAATTACATTCATAGATTAGGGGTGTACCGATGTATCTGTGAAGATTTTCTCAATGTTTGGAGATCGGTGATTGTCCAAGACTTACAATGTGAAGTCAATCTTATCCCCCAATCATCTACCTCAGCAAAGACCTAAAAATCAGCCACTTCTTCTTGTCTCCTGTGAGAAGTGTGACTGATTCACCAGCCCACCAGGTCCTGTCTGCAGGTTTGCAGTTAACAGCTGCCAATTCAGCAACATTTCAGACAAAAAAACAAAAAAAAAAAAGGTGCCAAAATCCAAAATGGCAACTCAGGCTTTTTCAAGATCCGTAATCAGCGATCAGCCAGAAAACTGCATTCGGTGCACCCCTTAACTGTAGTTGGGCTGTTCTATTCTTTCTGGTTTTCAACATAAATTTATCATTATATATTCTCAGATGCAGTCTCAAACCGTCTCTGTTTCCAAGATTAACCGTGATTGACTATTTAGGGCAAGAAATGTGTAAAAGGATGTTTTGAATGCAGTTTTCTTCCTAAAGAAAACTCCTCTCATTTCCCCAAGTAAACCTGGATTTGGATAAAAACCGTCTCGGAAGGTCAGAGCATTACAGAAACCAGACATCGGATCCTCTCCCACAAAGTTCCCTACAATAAAACCATGACTTGGGGGTCTCAGAGATCAAGGTGAAACAAAAAGTTTAAAACATGATCCTCTGCCTTGCCTTCATGGTCACTGAGCAACACCAGAAGATTAAAGCTTGGAAATAAAACAAATCAGTGTGGCGCAATAAAAGCGTCCCTCACACTTCACCATGTTTACTACTCAGCGCTCAGAAAGCCCTCGTTGTTAGACCATCGCTTTGAAACACAAAGACAGATGGAAACAGTCACTGCAGACGTTTTAGAAGCATTGTGAGCAGATGCCAGGTTGCAGGTGAAGTTTCTCTTGTTGGTCTGTTATGTTTCATAATTCTGCTTTTAATAAAAACGTATTTAGTCTTGTTAAAACAATCCAACAAGTCCCTGCTCCTCAGCTTTTGTCCTTGCGGGGGCTTTGGCTCTTTCCTGCGTCTCCTTTATGGCTCAGCCTCTTCAGCACCTTGATGGGTTTAAACTTTGTCCCTTTTTTCTTCTGGTGGTCACTGTCTGGATCCTTGTGAAAGTCTGACCAGAAGAGGAAGAAAAGAAAAAAAAAAAGTGAATTGCAAAAAATGTTTTGACTGATTTAGGAGCCCAACGCCTAATTGTAAACATCCTACCTTTTTTCTTCAGCATGGCCTCCATTAATTTGTCTTCTTCTTCTTCCCTGTTGACACAGCGATCATAAATATTACCAATCAATATACACTAGTAGCTACAGCAGTGATGGATACCAGTGAAGCAAGCTGCTGACTACCTCTGTCGCTCCTGATCCATGCTGTTAACTATTTGGTTGCGCTGTTCAATGATGGTAACTAGCTCTGCCATTAGCTCCTGTTCCCGACTCTTGTCCTCCTCGGTCCAGTCTTTCTCTGTTGTTTAAAAAAAAAAGAATACAAACATTTGTTTTACGCTGTTAGAGACACAATCTGTTTGTGCTAAAGGGCATTATGGAAGTCTATAAAAACCTGGTTTGTTAAGAAGACACCTCAGCTCATACTCCACGTCAGCTTGCCTCTCCTCCAGGTTCTGCTGCTTTGCACTGTGTGGAGAACGAAACACCATATTCTGGTTCATGGTTCTACTTCCATCAGATGCAATATAACATTGTCTCCTTAGAAAACAATCCATTATTGCATGTTTGCACTGTGGTACAAAAACAAGATAGAAATACCGTCAAAGGTTTTGTGTACAGAAGCATCAACGATTTGGGCCAATAAGTAAAGAGTCAAGCAAATAAAAGTTTCCCGATAGTTTCTGGATCTGCAAATGGGTTGAAAGATTGCAGATGCACAAAAAAAGTCCTATTCTTCTGTAATTTTATGTCGGTTAAAACTAGCTGCAGATAAATTTACACAACCATACACAGGAAAATAAAACTTGTTATATTTTTATCTCCACAAAAAGACTGATTCATTTAACCGTTTGCTTGACGAGAGCATCAAAGTACGAAGAGAACCGTTTCTTCTGTATTACTTACGTGTAAACCAGCTCAGCTTCACGTCGCACTAAATGATGTTTATCGTGAATCAGAGTGAACCAGTCCACCAGGAGGCGCTCCTCATCCTCGTCTTCACAAAGAACAGAAGAGAAAGACTTCAGCATGACTTTGCATTAAATGTCATTGAATACTTATGTTGAACAGAAATCATCTCTGCACACCTGGAGAAATGTTTCTGCGACATAAAAAGAGGAGAACAGGAGTCACTTCAGAGCTTTTCCTACCTTTAATGTGACGCGTAACGATGCAATTAACTGAAAACTGAAAAGCAAAGTATGTTTTGTTGTGGAAAGCGTAATTTTTTCTCTCCAATTGAGATGGGATGTCGTTTTAGTGCCAAATTATGGTCAAAAGTTTTAATGTATGATAGTTTCACAAAACTATCATTTGTTTTACAGAAGGGATTAGGAGATTTTAGCCATGCCCAGAAGTTTACTTTTAAAGAAAAACCTTCTCTCTTCAATCCAGATATATGGAGAACACATTAGTTAGTTGTTTTGATAAGTAGAACGCAATAAGTTCTCGTCGAACATTGCCACAACTGGCGGATTCCTAGCAGCCTCTCTGACCCGCCCTCGTCTTGACAGTTTCTGTAGTGACTTCACTATTTATCCTACTGTTTTTTTTAGTGCGATGAGATTTTGATCCTTTGTAAATCCTGTACAAACCGCAGGTTTAGCCAAAGTGATGCACATTTAATGAAAATCCTACAACTACCACAGAAGACTGAAAGCTGGAATTGAAAAATGATTCAACAAAGTACTGCTTTAAGATTATCCATAAATCTTATTCAACCTGATTACTCTTTCATGTTTCACCATTTTCTAACAAATGTACTTTTTTCCCTTTTGAGCTGTACAAAGCAACGGTCACATGAAAAGGTGAAACAAGCTCTGAAATTATTTAGCTTTGTCACCATTTTTTGTAACGTCACAAAAATATATTTCCAAGGGTGAGTAGACTTTTTATATTCATTGTATTGCATCGAGAACTAACAGAAACCACACATATGATACCGTTAGGAGTGTCTCTCAGCTTCTTCTCCAGCTCCACCCCTCTCTGCTCCAGCTCATCCAGCTGCTTCTCCAGCTGAAGCAACTCCGCATGGATGTCCTCTACTGGGATGTACTGGTCCGACTGCACCTGCAAGAATTATTTGGAGCCTGGTGAGAACGTATCCTATTGGTATCATTAAAAAAATGTAAAACACGATCAGGCCAAGCTACCTCATACCTTGCGTTTGATAAGTGGGAAGCCGTGTCCTGGTGCCGGGGGTCTGGCAGGACGAGGACCTTTGGAAGGTGGCGTTTCAGACTTAGAATTGGAAGGAGAAGCTTTCCTGTTGAAGGGATTCTCCTTACAAAACCTCTACAAAAAAAAAAGAAAAAAAAAAAAAAAGCATTTGATGGAAGATAAGCAAACAACCCAATGTTGCAAAAGAGAACTTACTCTTCAGGGAGAGAGAAAAAGAGGAAGAATAGAAAAAAGCCAAGATAGATAAAGGTATGTTTGCATGTCTCTTGGTAGAAGAGACAAGAAAATTAGCTAAACAAAAAGTTTAGCTTGATAGCGACGCTGAACGGTCTCGTTCAACAACCAAACATTTATGCTAGCGTCCTTGCATTTGTGTGAAACTGGGTCCGAGTTGATTCTCGAGGTTGGCCCTGTGTATTTCTGAGGTAATTTTTTCTTTTGGCTTCATAATGTATCATAACAAAAGTTAAAACTGACATTGTGCTGGTCACACTAATCAACAAATCTGACATTTGATGTAACAGATATACAGCTGGACAATAAGATGTCCAGGTGGATGCGATTTCATTACTTTGTTGTGTGCCTGCGTGGTCAGCGGGCTGGGAGTGGTGGCCGGTCGAGGTGGCCTGGCTCCAGTGTTGCGGCTGGTCTGCGGAGTGGCCGGAGCAGAGCTGGCATTGGGAGGCGAAGCAGACGGGAAGGAGCTTTGGGAGGAATGGTTCAGGAGATCTGCTGAGGACGAGGACGACGGGTCGTCGCCGGGTGACGAGATGGACGGTTCCGAGACACTCTTGCTGAAGCTCTGCTCCTGGTCGCTGCTGGCGCCCAGTGGGAGCTGGGAGGAGCTGTGGTCTGAGGAGGAAGACAGACTCTCTATGCTGAGAGCTGGAGAAGGAGAACAGGAGGAGGGCTGCGAGTGAGAGGAAGCTGAGGAAGGCCGTTTGGTAAGAAGAATAAAATAATACAGAGGCGAGATGGCACAAATGAAGTGGAAAAGAAGCAGGGAGAGGATGAAATGGAAACGAAAGGGAAAAAAATGATTAATTTTTATTTACTGGACATCGTCTTTGTTACAAACAAGTCACTTGAGTTCTTTCGGTTTAGTTTAAAAAAAAATCAGACCTAGAGAAGGTCATCATCTTCACACACTGACAAGTATGTAGATAAGGAGGAATTATAACAGGCCTAAATATTTTTATGTTCAATTCTATTCTTCCATTCTTCATTTCTATATTTCATAATGGTTTTTGTTAATCATTATGAATTAATAAATTTAGAATTTTTTATTGGTTGCATGTGTGTTGTTCTGTGTTCTCATCAGGTAAGGCACCATAAATTGCCTGTTCCTATAAAAATAAACTTGCCTTTAATGCATAACATTTTTTAATATTTGTTAAAGAACATATTATTACAAAACAATACTCTTAAAAGTCTATTTCTCCATCTTTATTCCTCGAGATCTTCTGGCCTGCAGCATTTAGATGAACCCAGCACACATGAATCAAATTAACCAGGCCCCTGCAGAACTGGATCACATGTTTAGGAGTTCATTCGGCCACCTGATCCAGGTCTGTTGGAGCAAAGACGCATCTTAAAGTTCCAAGATAGATCTGGAGGACTGGCAAAAATGTTGTAAAGGCAACTAGAGACAAAAATAAATGGTTAAGGAATCCTCGATTTCTTTTGGTGAAACTTTCTGGAAAACCCCTTAATGCTTCAATCACTCAGCACAAACCTGTAAACGCTGTTTGCTGATACGAGTTTAATGTTAATATTTGGTTCAAGTGTAAATGTTCAGCTAAATGAGGTTTTGATCAAACCAACCTTGGTTCCCAGTAGCCGGTTGGGGGGGAACCCGAGGGGCCGGCCTTTTCTTGCTCTTCGCGCTGCCTGGGCTGGCAGAACGGGACGAACTTCCTGTTCTGGGCGTGACCTCTGAACCTGGCCCCTCAGGCGTGTGAGTGATGTTGTACCATGGGTGGGTGGCCGCCACTGCGGGTGGAGCCGTTCCTCCATCGCTTCCCTCTTCACTGACTTCATCGTCCTCGTCCTCAAATGGGTTGGGGGGCGTGGTGGGTCCAGAGCCCTCTGCTTGGAGAGAAGGCAGAGAGCCCGTGTTTGGGGGCGATGCCACTCCAGGAGGGGGCGGCGGAGGGGCTTTCTTCCTCTTAGTTTCTGATTGGACCAGGGCAAGCCAAGGTGGGTCTTTAAGTTTATGGGTGCCACTGAACCATGAAACACAGACAGTGATGGAGGGGTCACACGGAGGAAAACCACATCATACACACCCATATACACACACACACACACGGTACCTTAGAAAAGCATAAATACCTCTTGAACGCTTTTTCAATTTGTCATTCAACAACGTTACATCAAGACACAATGAAATAACTTACTGCAGTGATGTGAAGTGGAAGGAAAATGATAAATAGTTTTCACATTGTTTGATAATTGGAATCTGCTATGGAGTATTTGTATTTGTCCCCTTCTACACTGAAGCTCCTTAAGTTGTGCAGATGTCAAATAGTCTTAACGGGAAACTAACTCTGCGCATCACCCTGAATTTGTGGGTGTGCTTCTCTTCAGCAGAAACAGTAAAAATTGACTGGAGCTACAATGTCAAGTTTTACATTACAACATAGTGCAATAATGTGTTGGAACCATTCTAATAGATCGTTTCATAATGTCTAGGCCTAAATCTGCCTGAAAACCCTGTTTACAGGAGCTCTTCATCTAATCTGACTGATCTTTAACTAGTGTAAAAATGTAAAATCTCAGTCTGTAGATGTGCCGGTACTGAAGTACACATACCTCTAAAAATTACATGTGTAATTACAACACAGATAGAGTTATAAAGTATTATAACTAAAAGGTACATGACACACCTTTTAGATTTGGAAAAAAAAGTATCCATGCTTCATTCTTCTGCAACTTTGAATTATACTCCACCCTTTGTTTGTGTATCACATAAAATCCCCACATTGCAGTTCAAAGTTTAGGGTCGTAAGTTGACAAAGTATCCCACAGTTTTACGGGTATGAATACTTTTGCAAGGCACAGACAGTGACGGTTCACGCTGCGACAAAATGCATTTCAGAACTGTGACGAGGAACTGATAATGACATGATTCAGGGAGGTGAAATGGTGGCGATGCCCAGGAGAAATGGCATCGCAGAGAAAACTGGCCCACCTTCCAGGAGACTGTGATCTTTCTCTTGGTTTGGGAGGAGCAGGAGGCTTCAGATGTTCACCTGTGATTTCAACAAAAAAAAAGTATGAACAAATGTTTGTGCATCTAATTTGAGAGCACTCAGATCCTTATGAAGGAACTTACCGGCTGGGGAGCTGTTTGCGGTGCAGGACATCCGAACCCGAGGCGCTGGGCGAGGTGGAGGGGTGACCTCTGACACCCTCCTGGGTGCAGGAACAGGTCGACTGGCTTCAGCAGCTTCACCATCAGAAGGAGGAGGGAGATCCCCATTTGAAGCTTCTTTAGCTTGAGCTTCTTCCTCTATTTCACCCTCATCCTCCTCTTCATCACTTTCATCGAAAGGATTAGGAGGAGAAGAAGGACGCGCTTCCTCTTCTTCCTCACCCAAAGACTCTTCTTTACTTGTTACTACAGCAGTGGCTGTGACCGTGTCATTAGCTAGCATCTCAGTGCTTGTTGAGCGAACTGGAGAAGGGGTCTTCGCCTCATCCCTCTCAGAGAGCGCGGGGAAGGGGACTGCACTGCGGCCGGTCCGAGCAGACTGAACGTCCTCTGGTTTCTTGCTGAGATCTGGACGACCGTTCTGACTGGCTGAAGCGTGTCTTGAAAGATGGTGTGCACACACCAACGCCCCGGAGTTATTTCCTTTGTAGGATCCAGGAAGCAGAGTGCTGCGGCACTCTGAGCACCTAAAAGAAAAACATGGACCTAAATATTTTCTTACAGAAACACAGAGCTGTCACCCTAGAAATTGTAATGATAAATCTTATGTCAATAAAAGTCACAACTCAGTTTTTTTTTTGTTTTACATAAAAACATGATTTTATACTGTATTTTGCTTAAGTATAATTCTGTAATTATGATGCACATATAAAGCACATCCACCATATTTGCATTATCAAAACAAAAATGACATATGAGAAAGTGAAAATGTTAAACTCATTGCTAAAAATCTTTAAGCGCTAACATGATGGTTGTTGTTGGCGCAGGCCACAATAAACATGTCTTCACTAGAAACTAACAGGAGGAACTATTCATACAAAAAACATCAGTTGAACTGCATTCAAGCTAGGGTTATGCAATAAATTGCTTTTCCCCCAATTAATCACATTTTCTTACATTTTTGAAAAATCAGATTTTTTTTTTCACATGTCAGCACGCCCAAGGCCCACCATCTTTAAAAGTGTGCTTTTCTTTGGTTAAAAACAAAGAAAGTATTTTTTTATTGTATTTATTGCCATTTTTGTGCCCCAAAATATCTATATCGCAAATATGAGTTTATAATTTAGGAAGGAAAATATTTATAAACAATAAAATACCCAATTCTGATTAAATATTAGCTACAGCAATCTGTTTAAATAGATGTCACATTAATCTAGGAGTTTATTTTTTTCTAACATGCCCAAAATATGTTTGACTCCACTGATGTTTTGCAGCCGTCTTCTCAGTCCTCACCTGAAACAGTTCCGATGGTAGAGCTTGCCGTCGATGAGGAACCTCTGCACCAGGTGAACGTGTTTCTGGCAAGCAGCACAAGTGCTGCTCAGACTGCTGCGCTTTGCCGCTGCAGCCACCTCTGCACCGGTCTGCGCAGGCAGGACCCGACGACGCCACAGACCCAGGACGTTGTTTGCAGGACGGAGGGGCCACAAGGAGCAGACATCAGGGGAAGGGGGCAAGATGTAGAGCAATGAGGGAGGGGGGAGATTACACATGGAGTCAGGATTTGAGGATGTGGATTGTTCATTCTGCTTAATCTGGCTGCATCTGCATCTCGCTGATTCACGTCTGCACAGCTTAAAACAAAAACGTCTTAAAGAAATAAATAGTTAAAAAAAACAAAAAAAAACATTAGCACTCAAATATATTTTGCTGTGACTGAAATTTATTCATCCATCCATCCATTTTCTTTTGCTTATCCAGGGTCGGGTCGTGGGGATAGCAGCTTCTGAAATTTAGGTTTGTTATATTTTTAGGCATTTCTGAGTGTTATGTAAAGCGCTTAGAAGGCAAAGCATTGGAAATCCTGCCATACAGGATGTTAGGATAAAACCGCTGTTAGTCTTTTACACACAAAAGATGATTAGAAAACACTGACCTAAAGGGTTTTCCTTTACTTACTACCCCAACCCCCACCCCCACATTACTGCCTAGGCTCAGGACCAGAGACTGAAGGGGGGACCAGATGTGAGGATGAAGAACAGGAAGAGGAATGAATTTCCATCTACAGACATGAGGAAGGGGGAGGATATGATGCCAGTATGGGATGGAGGAAAGAAGTTGGAGCCATGCGAGAAAACAGAAAGACAGGATACAGAGGCTATCTTTATAGACTTATTCTATTGCTAAGGTTACGCCCCCCCAGCCTTAACACAATGCCCAAACAGGGACGCATAGAAATATCAATCCCAATGAGGATTGCTGCAATGTTGGCCTCTCAGTAAAAAACCACACAGATCATGCAGATATACATGACTTCAGATACACATTTAAAGGAGGGAACATGTGGCTTAATAGAATTTATTTCAAAAATACTTGTTGCTGTCATGAAGTTTTAATAAATATTAGCCATGGAGACCAAAATCCAGCAGTCAAGTGTGAAAACCAACGCAAGTACACAGACATTGGTTCATTTGAATGCGTTTTCCCTCCATGCCATTTCACACACTTTACCTCAGGCTCAACCACTTTGTCTTCTAAAGGAGTCGACGGCCTTTTTTGAGCTGGTTCATTATGGCTAACTGTACTGAGCCTCTTCATAGACGGGGGGTTTGCTGTGGTTGACAAAGCAAAAGCAAAATCAGGAGTCAGGTTAGGCAGACTTTGAAGATGTTGGAGAACAAAGTGGACCCACCTTGGGACTTGTTGTTAAAAAAGTTATAGTACTGAGACACATATGTGATGACGCTCAGCCGGTCCGGCACTTTCATGGACACCATGTCTTCTGGGTCCAGCAGGGCTGGAATTCCCAGCTCCACCTCCGCCACCTCAAATGCCTGCAGCAGAAACATGAAGGAGGAAGGGAAGGAACATTATCTGATAGGCTGATAAATTATAGTAGCTGAGAGGTGCCAGGGGTCCGTGATGTGTAGCAGGCTGGGCATATAGAGAACTGTTTTTGATCATTTAGCTAACCTGATTATTAATTTGACAATGACATACTGATTTTATCAAATTGATTTCATTAAATCCTTGTGGATTTACTTGAATGAAGAAAGTGAATTCCTGATAATTGTCGCTGGTTTACCATCTGTGATTGTTACAGGTGAGCCACACAAACAGTGCTAACCGGTGAGCCATGAGGCTGCTTTATGCTTGATTAGCTTGCAAAACCAAATGGAGCTTGAGCATTTTCCCTCACATCCTTTAAAAATCATTCTGACAGTGAAAGAGAGACAATATGAGATGCAGCAGCCTGTTTGTGTCATGTAAGCTAATGATCTTACATATAATTTAAAAAAATATATATTCCTAGCCCTGGCATATTTAAGATGAAAGAAATCTTCTCATTTACCAGCTCAGTTCAATTCCAAAATATTTTATTGATCCCAAAGGGAAAATAAATGCTGCTGGTAAAATTGCTGCTATAATGACTGGAAGCAATAGTGATATTATGAAGAGGATGGAACAATTTGAGAAGGGAACTAAAGATCAGGGTGAAAGGAAAGAGGGTGATTCAAATACCTGGAGCTGATTGCAAAAGTTTTCAAAATCCTAGTAGAAACAAGCAAAAAGCTGCTCAGCAATCATTAGAGGAGTATGAATGTCTTCATGCCATTAAAGTTATTTTTCCCCTATAGGTTTTTTATAAACAGTTGGGAAAAAAAAAGTTGCAAATTACAATCCCCTCTTCGTAACTTCTGAGGCATGTGCAAAGAATATGCTCTTTTTTTTCTGACCTTGAATGCATCACATGTCTCCCTCAGAGTCTGAGCCTCAGTCAGACTCCACCAGGATTAAGCAACATTAACCCTACATAAGCTGTTAAATAAATCAAAGTCACGCCAGCCATGACTGCATTCACCCCAAAGAACAGGCGGCTCACAGACACAATGCCTGAAAGCTAGCTTGCAAGAAATGAGCTGATACTCCATCATTAAAAACAAAAAATGATTTTGTGAGAGCAAAACTTTGTGACTCACCAGACGGTTGTTCTCATAGACATTTTCTTTAGACAGTGAATGAAAGTCTCTGAAATAAAAAAAAAAGAGAGAGAGACAGATACAAATTAGCATGTAGCCACTATAATTACATACAAGCTCATTTTTTAAATCTTAGCAGCTGTAAGCCTCCTGGATTCCTTGAAATTATCTTTGCATAATTTACTAGTGTATTTACATATTGTTTTATTTTGCAGTGAATTTTAATACAACCTTTGCTATTTGATTTCTTTTTCTTTATTCCTCCCTGGTACTGAAATCAATTTCTAATTTGCATAAAAGAGACAGTAAAAGTGTTGTTTTAAATTTCTTTTAAACTTAAAGAACTTGGAACAACAATGAATCGACCACATTGACTGTTGCTGTCAGTTTTTCACCCATCCAGACTCTGGTAACTTTTTGTGTTACCAGAGTCTGGCTCTGATTTATTTAACAGCTTATGTACTTGTGTACTAGTAGGCAACCAAACTGAAGAAACCCCAAAGAATCTTCAAAGTCATTCCTTTCCCGAACAGTATGGTATTTATGACAAAGTCTTACTCATCATCTTTCTATTACTGGCAGGGCAGCGAGACACACAGCAATGTTGAGCTGGTCTGCTTAACACATACCGCAGCTGAGAATGTCCAACCTCCACATAAACGCCACGTGAGGCCGATAAACTGCCTGAACAAAGGGAAAGAAACGGCAGCCTCAAACTAGCGTGGGCCTGATGATTACAAGACTTGGCCCTGAGGTGCTTGGAGCAAGCAAGTACAGCCGGGCCCCTGCCGGCAAACTTCCTGCAGTAAAACTGGAAAACGTCTGAGCAGCGCTGGGATAACCGTGTCTGTGTGGATGCAAATGTTTAATGAAGCATGAAGGGAAGGGGAAAAATAAAAATGAAAAACACACCCTGTCCTTGGCGAAAGCTTTTGGAAACCATGTGGTTGTTTCAAGAAGACAGAATCCTCTGAATGAGCTGTGTGTCATCGGCTCACAAAGTGACCTCTGTTCTCTCTAATCTAGTTCTCATGGCACCAACACAAAACACCCGATATCAAGATTGTGTTAAACTCCTCCGATGCTGCAAAATGAATCGAGAGTGACCTACAACACTCCCTGAAACCATTGGCCAGGGTTCATATTCTAGATCCTCGCTGACAAAGACGTATATGATGAGAACAGGCGTGCGACTGGAACTGCAATCCTAATCCTCTGCAACTCAGCCCCACTCTTGGTTTATTTTGGGAGTGAGTAATGCTGAGGAACAGTGCGCCTTTGACTGTGTGTCAGGGGTTTAAAATCCTCACGGTGAAAACCTGGCTGTGTCAGTAACTCTGTTAAATTTAGTTCAGTCAGAAGATTTTTGTCCTGACTAAAAAAACAAAACAAAAACAGACTCAAGTTATGACAGAACAAAAATACTTTCCAGTTTGCCATTTACCAATGTACCTATAAGTACTCGGCATTAGACGAAAATTTGTTTTACTGATAAACATTTTACATTTCATGAGTTTTAACAAGAAATACAAGAGAATAAAAGCTTAAAACGTTCAATAAAACTGATATCACAAGCAGTTTATTCAAAATTATACATAAAGTACTAGTAGAAATATCTACAGCAGTCTAAAAATCTGAACACGCTCAACACAATTCTTCACAAATCAAGTCAAAACAAAAAAATAGTCCAAAGTACAAATTTTTTCATTGCCTTTCACAAGAAAAAGTACAAAAGAAGACAAACCAAAAATAATCATCAAAGGTTCTGAATGCTGCTTGAGATAAAGGTGAGAACATTGTCTGGACTTCATCTGGACTCCCTTTTTATCATCATAAATGTTCATTTTGCCAACAAGGTGTCTTGATATCTTTTTAACGTTAAAAAAGAAGTGGCTACATCACTTGGAGGTAGCAAAAGGAAAAAAGCTAACAGCAGCTATTTACCACCTGATTCCTGAGGAGACAGAGGGTCAAAAACCATCGACTGATTATAAGACCTGCAGTAAAACTTTACTAACAATGGGTTTAGTCTATATAGCCTGATATCTGGGAAAACCTTTACATTTTTATGCATTTTGACCTTTCATTCGCACAAAAGCTAAAAGACTTTTTACATTTCCTGGTTCTCCTCTCTCATCACAATGTTCCAACACTCTTTTTAGCGTCTCAGCAACCAAATATGCACATCAAGTGGGTTGCATGGAGGCAGAGAAAGTCCAGGCAACTATATAGATATACTATTTTCATAGAATCTGTATGTGTGCGACTCTCATCCTACCAAATATTGATGCCAAATACTAATAGTGGTTCTACACATCATCGACTCAGGGCAGAATGCAATGCAGGCCACACTTTACAATTCTGCATTTTTAGAAGCTTAAAAACTGTGTACCACTTCTCCTGTGTGGTCTACAAGATAAAATCTCAATTAAGTATATTTTCATTTTTGGGGTGGTAATGTGAAACAATGTGGAGAAAGTTACCCATACTTCTGCAGGGCACTCCAGCTTAGACTAATTTGGCTGTACCAATGCCGACTCCCCCTGTGTTAGTAATGGTTGGCCACAGGAATTATGATGACGCCTCTCCTCCGCATCACTGCCACTTTACTCAGATGAAAACGGTTGGCTGCAGAGTACAATACAGGGAAACAATGGCCTGGATCCAAATTGATGGCAAATAGAGTCTGACAGGCAGAGAAGTCTCATGCACAGATTAGACCAGCAGGGCTGCCTGTCTGGATCAGCGCGAGTTCGGCTGATCATCGGCAGCAAAGAGAAAGTTAAGCAGAAGGGTATGCACAAAGGAAAACAAGAAGTATAAATGATCCATGAACTTTTGTCCTTTAAACCCTCCATATTCCACTCCACCAGATAGTCAAAGATTTAATAAGTCAATATGTACTCTGTAACATCAAGGCAAAGTCTTGTTTGCACTCTGAAAAGAAACAAGATGCTAATCTAAAAATCAGCCCACCAGATGTTTTGTCTTTGTCACCAAGTACCAGGGGAAGGACACAAACGCATGATTTACAGAAGGCTTGTGTGCAAACCAGCCACTACAATGGAGGTCGTTGACTTGCTCCGGCAGGAAATCCTACCGCTGCTCAGCACAGGCGCTACCAACAGAGCTGTATTATGCGACACAGAGAGGATTTCTAAAGTGAGTCATATGCAGCGCAGATTTTCTGTGAATGGTTGCTGTCACCCTGCAGAGAAGAGCAATTGTTTAAGCAAGGGCTAAACGATACTCCGGAGGAAAGAGCAAATATAATATTTACCTTTCCTGCAGCATTCCAATAAACATTAGAAAGTAGAGATAAGTTTTTTTTAGGGATGCATAACATAAAATCAAATGTGTTTGTGTAGAGATGTCTGCAAACAATAGTGCTGTGATGCATGACAAATTTCACACTTGTATATTTCAAGTGTAAAATACTTTATTTTTTTTCCCAAACAGAGAAAACACTCTAACCTGAAACTTAAAGAGAAGGAAGCTGTGTCACCGGTGCTTTGATGTTAAATTACTGCTAGCAGTGGCAGTGTTTTTATTTTAGATGCGCTCTAGTTTTACTTTTGTTCTCACTTATGCTCCCTTTACTAAAAATACAAACTGTCATACACTTCTTGCATCCTCTGTTGTTATGATCACTAATTTAATATAAAAACAGCTTTGTAGGATTATGTGTTTACATAAATTTGATTTCTGTAATAATGCCATGTCCTGTGATGTGACTTGAGAGCATGCCAACGTTGGAATGTTGATAATAATCTGTGCAGCGTTTCGCTCTGCTTTGCAAAGCAAAGCAAAGCTACTCCAAGCTCCTCTTTGCTAAACAAGAACGATAGGAATCCGGAATAGTATTTTTCAAAGAAACAAGCAGGCTTTGCTCCAGTTATGCGGTATTTGTTGTCAAGATGTCCCGATCAAACACCAAGGATCAACTGTCACATGATCTGAAGATCATAATGGAAAAATCTGATTATGTTCCCCTTGTCATTAAATGCGAAACTAAGAGTTTAGAAACTGGTTTAAGTTTATAAAGACGTCAACCTCCAGAATAAAGTTAAACACCATTTTATGAGTACAAGAGAAAGCAGATAAAAAGCGTTTGATTCAATAATTGTAATAAAGTTACAATTGCTTCATTTGTTAGTGAATGGCAAACAGGGAACTCCATCTAAAAACAGCACAGCTATCTGGTGTTAAGCATGAGTGTTTAGAATTCAAAATAATAATAATGTTAATTGCTCAAAAGCCAAATCAACAGAGCAACAAAAACAGGAGTCAACCAGGAAAAGCCTCCACTTTCCAGCTTTAATGATGTTTTCTTGGTTGTTTTCCGGATTTGGCTGACTTTCCATTGGAGTTTCCATTGAAGTAAATGCAAAACAGCAAGACTACAAATGAATTGCCTACCAGAATTAATTAACTGTCTGAATCTGAATCTATATTAATCTAAAATAGGAAACTACCGTAGTTTGATCTGCAGATAAATGACCATGTGTGTCATAGCTGTGGTCAAAGTGTATTGCATGTCGGTCAATTCTGAATCTGTCTAAATGTTTGGATTGCATTAATATGAATTTATTTGATTATATTTACCTATTGTTGGCCGTTAAACTGACCAGTTCTGCAAAAGGCCTGGAGGTGACAATGGTTTGTTAATTGTTGCTACACAAACAAACTGCATTGTGAGAACATTTCCTGCTCTTGACCTCAACCAAAGCAGTGGCAAGTCATCCTGAACCTCTTCCCTACAGCAAACCACCCAAATCACAAAGATGATGTTGTGTTTTGTGTCGCCTTGTATTCCCTCCCTGCGCAGGAGTAAAAGGTCAATCTCCCACCGAAGCACTACTTGAAACAAACTGAATAGTTTCAGAAAAAAATGCACGGTTCCACTTTGTTTGGATGTACAATAATAAGATATGAGATAAGTAGTCGGTTGTTCAACAGATCACAGTATTTTTTTTAGTATTTGGAATGTATTTTTGTGGGGACAAACAAAAAAATCTACCACTTCTTTTTGTTTTTTAGAGTATTCATGGAATTTAAAGGAAAAAGATGAAAGAACGCTACAAAGTAAGACCACTGTTAAGTTCTCAAATTTCTAGCATACAAACTGCTTTATACTTAATTCTAATACTAATTAAAACTCAGATCCTGTTTTAAACAGGATCTGGGTTTATGCAGATCCCGATTAATGCAGATTTCAAGATTTCACTTTGGCCTGGCCAACAGTCTTCAATTTGTATAAGGATTTAAACACACAAGCGAGCAGACAAAAATCTTTGCTTGAATGAAGTATTAGTCTTTAGTTCAACAGAAAATGCAGAAAATCCAACATTATATTTAATACATCTGTCCCCTAACCTTTATGTAACTCTTCAAAATCCACCAAAAAAAGTCCTTCAATTGCTTTACTTTTAAAGCATTTACTGAAAAGGGAAAAGTCTCTGTATTTAAAAAGGTAATTTCTCACTATAATCAGATCATGGCCATTTTATTGGGGTTAAAATGTGTTGGGAAATTCCTGTTCTTGAGCCTGACTTAAACAATATTAAGTCATCCCTATAACTTCCCCATAAATAACCACCTAAATACCACGGATGATGTTGTGTTATCTTGTGTGGGTGTGAAATATAGAGAGAATGGGTGTTTATCACAGACAGATGGCAAGGCTTGCCCCACACTGATGAACACATCAGGGGGCTTGGATTGGACAACACAACACGCCTAAACGTTTTCAAGAATGGAAACAAGCAATTGCTCAACAAACTACAATATTTCAGTTTGTTATGATGCTTTATTATATCAATGTGGACAAAAAAAACCCATTCACTGGTCATTTTGTTCAACCAACTGGCATTATAAAGTGACTGACTACTTTGTCAGCGAGGTGTGCAAGTGAATCTGAATCTGTCTTTGCTTGATTATACGTTTCTGTGCACTGATTTCACTCTTTTTCTCGTTAATTGCCTAGACATTACATTTGTTGTGAATGAAATGGAGCCACATCTTAGGCTATACAAACAAAAAGCCTTGTGATCGATCCTCTGATTAAACTTGGAAGTGAATTTGCAGCTGAGTGTGATGACCATTAATTTGTATTTTTCTGTTCCAACATTGTTCACAGTGCTGACGTTCTGTTAGGCTTCGTGGCGTTTCAAGCCACATCAGACACATAGAGAGGTTGTACTTACATCAGGTCTGGTCTGTGGCGGTGTATGATGGCACAAAACGCCAAGCCGTCCCGAAAGGACGCGGACATGTCCCTGATTTCCACATCGCTGTAGGTCTCGCACTGTATCCGGCACCACTCCTGGAGAGCCTTCAGGGATCCCATCGCGCTACTGTTCATCACTCATGAGCGGCTGCATTAAAGCCAAATACATAAAAAAAAATCGATGTCTTTTTAGTTTCGAACGGCGTCAGGAGAGACAGGAAACCGCAACGGCAGGCGGAGCAGCAGCAGCAGCAGCAGGGGCAGCAGCAGCGGGGGCAGCGTGCTGCTGCAGAAGGTCGACAGGCAGCCAGGCAGCCAGTCAGACAGGCAACACCCGAACTACGAGGCGTTGCACTCACCCACGTCCACAGAGTCACGTTAGGAACATGGACCACAGTCGTGCGAGAAGTTAGCTAACTGTTGCCAGTACGAAACAAACAGGCTTAAGTTCATTTCCCGTGAGAAACTAGCGACACTCAAACGGCTGCACGAGCCTGGTGTGGTTATAACACCAACTGAAGCCCGGAGCCGAGAAAGTCAGCTTAGTCAATACGAGCCTCTTGACGAACCTACTTAGAGAGACGTCTTCGTTTCTTGGGTCCGCGAATAATATCCAGATGCTGTGATAATGTCGAAATGGGAATGGTAGTTTCCTCCTCGACCTGGTACACACCGCCTCATTGTTGCTACAGTTTCTAACTGACGCTGGGTCAACTCAAAACTCTCGACAAAAACTAAAACATTCAAAACGGATTGCAATTAAAAAAAAACTGGGCATGTGATAACATTCAAAGCAGTGGAGTTACTGTAGTCTAGATTAGCTACATTTGTTGTCGGTACACCTTCGACCTTTCTTCTCTGAACCACTCTGTCGTTCCTCCTCTCAGCCATCAGGAGGCGCTGCACAACCTGAGAGAAGAAACGGGTCAGTGCGTCCGCCATTTTATGAGTTTTTCTTAAGTGAACAAAAACAGCAAAGTCACTAAAATATTAACAGTTTAATAATAATAATAATAATAATAATAATAATAATAATAATAATAATAATAATAATAATAATAATAATAATAATCATCCACATGCATAATTCATACATACTCGAGCTTTTGCTTCAAATAATGGGACAATTTGTTTGCCTATGCATTAACCAAATTGACACTCACAACATGACGGTGACGCCGACGATATCTGCCCATCCACGCGATATTACAAAAGTCACGCGACAGTAGCCACTTGGTACGAATCTTGTAAAGATGGCGGCGGCCCCTTCTGATGAGACTAGCCTTCAGTCTCTGATCAGTAAGTCATCATACATTACTAGACATGATGCCGTTTTAAGCGATGTTAAGAGCTGAGATACAGGTTTAGAGGGATCTTTGTGGTTAAACTCGTGTTTTCTTTCGGTTGTCACCGACAGCCTCGTCACAGGCTAATGAGTTGTCACTGTCAAAATATTAAGTCAGCAAAGTGCAGTTGGTGACAAGGAAGAACGACAACTACAACTTGTGCTGTTTTTGGCTCTGCTGTTAGCGTCTACACCTAACGTTGTCAGTCGTCGGTTAAAAAGCGAATGAATGTAAATATCCTGGAAGCGTCCATTTGATACTAACCAGGTCCAAAAGCTACACCTTCCTGAACTTCTGCAAAGAACAGATCTTCCTGATTTATTTACCCGTAAAACCACAGATATTTTGTGATATTTCGCTACTCACAAACATAGCACAATTTAAAACATATAAAAAAGTCACAGAGTCTTGTTTCATCCAGCTGGCACAAATTTGTTCCATGATTTTAAATGTAATGTTTGTTTCTCACACACAGACAAGGCCACCAATCCTCTCAATAAGGAAACTGACTGGGACAATATTAAGGCATTTTGTGATAAACTCGACAATGAACCAGATGGGTAAGATAGCGAATGAAAATTATGAATATTTATTTGTCCATTTAAAGGTTTCTTTTATTCTTTTTTTTTTTTTATAGCTACAATGACATATTTCAGATCTGGAAACAAATTTTCAGTTGTCAAAAATGAGCTCAGTAAAGAGAGAAAGCTATTTTAAATTGCTTATTTCAAATTTTGAGAGAAAAAGCTGTGAAACATTACTTGAAAGACTAGTCAGGTCATGCTAAAGTGGTTTTGAGTTCAGACTTTGACTAGGTCACTCCAAAACCTTTTGTTCTTTTGGAGCCACCTTGAGCCACCTCTTGCTCGAAATGTCTGCTGGAGATAGACACCAGCACCTCTCCCGACCCTGCGAGGGACAAGGGTGTTACAAAATGGAGGAATGGTACTTTAAGCTAGTTAATACTTTAAAAAAATATACAATTATTCTTGGTTGTGCCTGGTCAAAGTGAACCCAAAAAAGGGACTTCTTGCAGTTAATTCAGGAATAAACAAGCAAGTGAACTATATATTTCTCACATTGGGACAGGTGGAATTCATCATGTGAAAAATGCATTTTGAGTTTACTCAGATTACCTTCTGTGTGACCTTAAAAGTTGTTTCATCTCAGACATTTAATTGTGAAAGAAAAGCAAACTTTTAAGGGGGGAAATACTTTCCAGTGCTTTAAAATCTTGACTAAAAAAAAAAAAGTTTGACTGGTTGGAAACAGTGCAGTTTATTTAAGCCAAATGTTTTTCTTTTGTTTTTGTCGTTTTTTTTTTTTGTCTTATTTGTTAAAATCATTTAATTCTAAATTAAAATGCTTGCATCCATGTTTTAAACGGCTAGAGGATTTGAAAAGGCTTCAATTAATATTTGTATTATCACCAGGCCTCAGCTTGCAACCAGACTTCTCGGCCACAAAATCCAGTCTCCTCAGGAGTGGGAGGCAATGCAAGCACTACTGGTAAGACTTGAAATCAATAAGCACCAAGCTTTTAGTAAAATTTGGTATCTTACAAATGGATAGATGGATATATACAAAAATGAAAATTCTTGTCCTCTCCCAGGTACTTGAGACGTGTATGAAGAACTGTGGAAACAAGTTTCATGGTGAAGTGGGAAAGTTTCGCTTTCTTAATGAGCTCATCAAGGTGGTCTCACCGAAGGTAAACACCGTCTCGCTTGTCTCACTAGTAGTTTATAGCAACTTGATACGCTTGAGATTGTTTCCTTTCTTTTGAGCTATAATAACAAAGGAGAAACCACGTCTTTCACCATCCAGTGTTTTGTAGAGTGGAGCCTGTATGGATGTAGCAAGAATGATAAAACTTTCATTGTGTTTGAAATCCAGCCAAAAGCAGCCAAATTTTCAATACACAGTCTAAATTATAAGCTATAAAAAGCAACTTCTCTTTGTTCCCATAAAAATATTCCTTGACAGACTGGAGAAGTTTATAATCTGATGTAAACTTGGGAAAAAATTACTGCACCTTATGAAAGCTCATGTGTGTCTATAGTATTTGGACATATGTATATTTAATATGAATTTTATTTTACTGGGAAATAGAAGTGAAATAAATATCACTACAGAAAAGGCATTTAAAAAATGTATGATTTAATTAATAAAGGCTTGTTTAAGGCAATGGATTTAGATTTAGCCCATCAGAAATTGCTTAAACACAAACAGGCAAATCACACCTGGTGCTCATGATATGAGCACACAAAAATGTGTTAGAGAACACATTTCTGTTTTATGTTGGGGTTTTGTGTGCTTCATGAGTAAAACCAGTTTTATTTTTCAGTATTTACATGAAATTTTATGGCTTTCTTTTCAGAATAAAAATGAAAATTGTATGTTAGATATGCATCCCTGATGTATATCATATTAAGTATTTGTGAGCATTCTTTTGATTTGTTGTGACTTTTTTCCTCCTCACGTAACCAGGTATCGTCTTTCTGGATACATTTGAAAAATTAAATGGAGCATAGAAAAAAAAATTGTATTTCCAGACTGTTTTGCTGTTCCATCGTATGTTTGCTGATCCATTCATTTATCAAACTATCCGTTTTCCAAACTACATTATTCGAAGTCTGACCTGTGTATGAAAATCTTCTGTGAACGGTGATTTGCATCCTGTTAAAAGGAATTAGAGCTGGATATATGAGCGCTGACATGGATTAAAAACTTCAGGAGTCTGCCGTCTCCAGCCTAGCTCTAAAATAATCATTACAGTATTTGAGACATTTTCTCTCTTCATTGTAGTATTTAGGATCCCGGGCTCCAGAGCCGGTGAAGGCAAAGGTGTTGGAGATGATGTACAGCTGGACCGTGTGGTACCCTGATGAGGCAAAGATAGCCGAAGCTTATCAGATGCTGAAGAAACAAGGTGAGCTCTTTTTTTTTTGTCTTTTAAGTAATGAAGGAATTGACTTTGAGAGGGTTTCTCTATTATTTTTACTGCCTTTTCTTTATGTGTGTGGTAGATTAACCAAAAGTAGCTTATGGAAGTTTTTACTTCTCTTCCCAAGCTGATAATGTTGGTTTTGGTTCTCCATACTTGCTCTTCTCCAGCATGTAGGTAGATGGAATCAGTTCTGCTTTTAGCTCAAGCACAAGACCGCTTTCCTGGGTCATGAGTAGTTGACTCTGCTGTGATGTTAAAAATGGACTTCCCACATATGACTTGATGTGTTTTGAAATGAACGCTCTAATTACAAGATGAGAGGTTATCGCTTTAGGGCAGGGAAAATTTAATCTGTGCCAGATTTGAAATGTTTTTGGGATGCTCTTGAAGTATTCCCACACTGTGTTTAGCAGAGGCTAAGCTGTCAGGAGTTCGTTTTGTGGGTAGTTAATAGATGCTCCTGTCATTTCCAGGCATTGTAAAGCAAGATCCTGTGCTTCCTGGTGACAAACCACTCCCACCTCCTCCACCCAGAGCCAAAACTGCCATCTTTGAGGACGAGGAGAAATCCAAGGTGTGTGACGAGAGATCAAGACGCAAAATGTATCATCGTGAAGCAGATCGTTTTTGTTTTGTTTTTTCGGGGGGAAATTAGTGGGGTCGTTTGTGGATATGCTCAACTCATAATGAACAAAAATCCATCAGGTCATGTGAAATTGAACTCCTGAGGACTCGCTATATACACATTCCTCTTCCTCTTTCTTTTTCCACTCTCTTCTGCCTCATCCTGCTATTGTAGATGCTGTCCCGCCTGTTGAAGAGCACCCAGCCTGATGATTTAAGAGCAGCAAACAAGCTCATCAAGGAAATGGTTCAAGAAGTGAGTGCCTCAGTTCGCAAAGTGCAGCACATCAATTCGCATGCAAACGATTTTGATTTCTGTTAAAATGAAAAGTCCAGTTTGCAGAAAACCTGAATCGCCGTCATTTCCCTTATGTCATTTTCATTTGATGTAAATATTAGA